CCTATGAAGCGGTATATAAGTCTAACTGCTATTGCTATTGCTAGAAAAACAAGGAAGTCTTCAAAAAGCACCTTTTGGAAACCATGGTTTGTTTTCCTTCAAGAGAAAACCCAGATGTGGTTTTCCACCCGGCAGGCCTCACCTGCCCTTCACAGTGGCCGCCTTGTTTGGAGGCAACAGAGAGGGAAATGTCCCAGAGTTTTCAAAGATAAATAAATCAATTTATTTAGCATCTCTGCTCCAGATTCCTTCAGGACCTGGATTTTCGATAGGGCTCTGTGTCAGAGGCAGAGAGGGGGCCAGAGCCATATGACAGTTATTCAGCTGCCTTCGGAGTCAGACATCAGTGAGGCAGAAGAACAACTGGAGCCTGTTCCCAGTGTGCGCATGCACAGAGTTGCCAGACGAAGGGAACAGCTAAAGAACAGGGGTTGACTTGGGAGTGAGGCCACAGGTGGACGATGAATGGCTCCTCCCAGATGGAATAAAAGAGGAGTGAAATCGGAGTGGAGTTTGCAGGAGATCATTAGTTCATTTAATTGGTTGGTGACTCTCCAAGGCTCCTTGCCAATTTCTGCAGATATCAGCCTGGCAGCTCTCCAAGCCAGAGAAGGTCTGTGACTGTAAATCCTCCCTGGAAAGACTTTGCTGGGTGTGAATGAGCAGAATTCACGGTCAATTCATAAAAGGGCTTTTTGTCAGGACAAGGAGTTTTCTTCCTGCTCTTGGGAAGCCTCGGTCAGAACACTGGCCTACCTTGCAGGGATGTGTTAGGGGAAGTGGAAGGAGGCGACTGGGAAGGAAGTGCAATACCATTGTGTGTTCTTGATGTGTTTTTTCCAATTTATGTTTTTAAGGTAAAGATACAGTTGATGAATCTTCAGAAGCAAGGAATCGAGAAAGACACTGTGCGTTTCAAGTTCTTACTCGTCCTCACCATTTTGGTCCCCATTGGAGGTCTTTTGGGGGTGTATCTCTGGGGCTGCCTGGCAGACACATATGGCAGGTACAGTAGGCATAACTTAAACAGTATTCCTGGGCTGTGGACATACAACAAAGTGCCAAATTTCAGCTGTTTCTGTTGGCATTGGTGCAGTGGTGAAATTCTTTTTTTTTTTTTTTACTACCAGTTCTCTGGGCGTGGCTTGGTGGGCATGGTGTGGCTAGGTGGGTGTGGCTTGGTGGGCATGACAGGGAAAGGATCAGAGGTGGGTTCATACCAGTTCGCACCGGTTTGGTAGAACCGGTTCGTCAAATCTACCGAACNCTACCTACCTACCTACCTACCTACCTACCTACCTACCTATCATCACCTTTTATTTATTTATTCAATTTATTCAGCCCACCCCATCTAGTCAATGGGCAGCTTATCACATTTTAAAATGAAAAGCCATAGAAACCTCCAAAATCATTATACATCTAACTGAGGAAGGATTGCCTCCCTCTTTTTCTTTCCCAGCACGCAGCCCTCTCTGAGTATCGGCCCATTCTGTCCAGGAACCCGTCTTCCCAACCGAGAGCCGCCTCCGTAGCGGACAGGAAGCTGACCTTAATCCCGATTATTTTCATCTTCCTGCGTATCTGGAGTACCGTTCGTTTTGTCCTGACCCTTTCTGGCTCCCCTGCAGACCGAAACTGGCTCCTGGTCATACTTCACGTGAGTTTCGAAAAACAACAGGTTCCCTGCACGGGCCTTGCGCACCCAGCTGCCTCCAGATGTGCAGCAAAGGATTCTGGGAATTGAAGTCCACCTTGTTTAAAAGCTCAGGAGAGGTGTTTTTTTTTTTTTAAATTCCAGAAGCAAAATTAAAAAAAAAAAATTTTATTCCTCTCCTTTTCCCACCAGGGAGTTGGGAACACGTTTCAAGGAGCCGCAAACTGCATCCTTTTCGTCTTTTGCACACGAGTCGTCCGGAATAAGCTGTTTTCTTCCTTGTGCTGCTGGAGACACTTGGAGGCTCCCCCGCCGAGTTTGGAGACCAGCTTCCAGGCTGAGCCCCCGCTTCGCAAAGACTGGGAGCTGCTGCAAGGCAGCGATAGCACAGGGGAAGACTCACCCATCCCCTGAACGTTGGCCTGCATCGTGATGGAAATCACCTTTTTTGCCTGGTGGGGTTTTCACTGTGAGTGTTTTTAGCTTGTCCTCATTTTGCAAGGGGATCTTTTAGAATAGAAAAGAATAGAACAAAACAGAACAGAACGGGAATGGAATGGAAGATGGGATGGGATAGAAAATAAATAGAAACTAGAAAATAAAATAGAAAATAAAATAGAAAATAAATAAAATAGAAACTAGAAAATAAAATAGAAACTAGAAAATAAAATAGAAAATAGAAAATAAAATAGAAAATAGAAAATAAAATAGAAAATAGAAAAT